TGGAGAAGAGTGGATGGATTTAAGATGTAATTTGGAGATGAAATTGACAGGGCTTGGCAAGGAGGAGAGAGCAGAACATTCAAGAAGATGGATGAGGAGAGTGGGGAAGGGAGAAGGGTGCTGTGAGCAGCTCGGCAAGGCACACACAGAGACCGACAAGCAACAGGGCCATGGCACCTCAACTTGTGTTTAACCACTGATGCCATCTTGATCCCAATGTCTTTTGTGCTTATTACAGCAAAATGACGGACAGTTCACGGTGATCCAACTGGTGGGGATGCTCAGGGGTATTGCTGCGGGCATGAAGTACCTCTCTGAGATGAACTATGTGCATCGGGACCTGGCTGCTAGGAACATTCTGGTCAACAGTAACCTGGTGTGCAAGGTGTCCGACTTTGGCCTTTCCCGCTACCTCCAGGATGACACCTCAGACCCCACCTACACCAGCTCCTTGGTGAGTATTTCCTGGGATTCGCAGATAAAAGCGTGGCATGAATAAAAGGTGCTGCACATGGCAGGGCATGCTGGGACAGACAGGGTCCTCAACTGACTTCTCCACTGAGGGAACCACGTGCTGAGCGGACCAACCATGCAGGAGAAACAGTAGTAACTGGTTGTCTAGGCAAACATTTGGTCATAGCCTGTGAAGAAGGATTGGTGTCTACTCTGAAGCTGTGGTGTTCCTTGGATAAAGGAAAAGGACACTTTGGAACAGATGATTTTGATTTGGAATCTGAACAGACAGACAGTGGCATCAGAGACATCCATCAGCCCAGGTCGGGTTGGGCAGGGTGTCACCAGGTGGACTCTTGGCTTGCTTACTTAATCCCTGGGGTGCTCCATTGCTTCCAGATAGCTTTATTTACTATCTACATGATGAGTACTCTTAAATTTGCATTTCCTGCTTTACTTCCCCCCTCCACAGCCCAAGCAGCCCTAATCATCTTTGTCTAACCTCCTTGGTCACAAAATTCCATTTAGAACTTCAACAGGTCCCTAACAAAGTTCTTGATTTACTCTCTGATGCTCTATCCCCAGCTGCTATGGGATGGGACACGGATGTGAGGTATGGAGAAACCAAGGCTGATTCCTAGGTTTCAGTCATCAGTTGAGTGGTACACACTAAGTGGAGTTAAAATTTGCATATAAAAAAATACACAAGTCTTTTTTTATTGAGGCATAAGTGACGTACAAATTGTATTCGTTCCAGGTGTACAATATAGTAATTTAACATGTGTATACATAGCAAAATGATCACCATCACAGGTCCAGTTACTATCTGTCACCATACATAGTTAATGTAATATTATTGACTATATTTCCCCTACTGTCCATTACATCCCCATGATTTATTTATTTTGTACCTGGCTTTTTGTGATTCTTGATCTCTCACCCATTCCACCACCCCTAACCTTCCTCCCCTCTGGCAACTACTGATCTATTCTCTGTGTTAAGCATCTGGTGTTTTGTTTTGTTTTGTTTTGTTTGTTTTGCATTGTAGATTCCACCTGTAAGTGAAATCAGCTAATGCTTGACTTTCTTAATCTGACTTATTTCAGTCAGCGTAATATTTTAAAGGTCTATTCATGTTGTCACACATGACAAGATTTCATTATTTTTTATTGTTGAGTGGTATTCCATTATGTGTGTGTGTGTGTGTGTGTGTGTGATCTTCTTTATTCATCCACCAGTGGACACTTCGATTGTTTCCATATCTTGTTTACTGTAAATAATGCTGAAGTGAACCTGGGGTTACACATATCTTTCTGAATTAGTGTTTTCATTTTCTTTGGATAATTGCATCGCAATGGAATTGCTGGATCTATGATAGTTCCATTTTTAGTTTTTTGAGAAACCTCCATACTGTTTTTCAAAATGGCTGCACCAATTTACATTCCTACCAACAGTATATCAGGGTTCCTTTTCTCCACATCTTTGCCAACACTTGTTATTTCTTCATGTTTTGACAATAGTCTTCTAACAAATGTAAAATGATATCTAATTGTGGTTTTGATTTGCATTTTCCTGATGGTTAGTGATGGTAAGCATCTTTTTATGTGCCTGTTGGCCATCTGTGTCTTTTTTGGAAAAGATGTCTAATCAGTTCCTCTGCCCATTTTTTAATCAGGTTTTGTTATTAAAATGTATGAGTTCTTTATATAGTTTGAATATTAACCCTTATCAGATATGACTTGCAAATATTTTTCCCCATTCAGTAGTTTTAGTTTTCATTTTGTTGATGGTTCCCTTCACTGTGCAAAGCTTTTTCGTTTGATGTAGTCCCATTTATATTTGGTTTTGTTTCCCTTGCCTTTGAAGTCAGATCCAAAAAACCATTCCTAAGACCGATGTCAAGGAGTTTACGGCCTCTGTTTTCTTTTAGAAGTTTTATGGTTCAGGTCTTTTATTCAAGTCTTTAATCCTGACTCAATTTTTGTATATGGTATAAGAGATTGGTCCAATTTCACTCTTTTCATTGTAGCTGTCCAATTTTCCAACACCATTTATTGAAGAGACCGTCCTTACCTGGTTATATGTTCTTGGCTCCTTTGTTGTAAATCAATTAACATATATACGTATGTATATATATACAGTTTATTTCTGGACTCTCTGTTCTTTTCCAATGATCCATGTGTTTGTTTTTATGCCAGTACCATACTGTTTTGATTACTATAGCTTTGTAGCATAGTTTGAAATTGAGGAGCATGATACTTCTGGTTTTGCTCTTCTTCCTCAAAATTGTTTAAGCTACTTGGGGTCTTTGTGATTCTATATAAATTTTAGAATTGTTTGTTAAGGTTCTGTGAAAAATGCCATTGAAATTTTGACAGGAATTACATTGAATGTATAGATTGCTATTCACCATTTTTTTTACCATAACTAAAAAATTAATTTAATAACATTATCAAACACTCAGTATTTACATTTCTGGTTATCTCATAAAAGTCATGTATTTTTTTTTACCACTTCTATCATTTTTTTCAATTCAAGAATGTTACGTACATGAAATTATACAACATGTAACCTTTTGGGATTGGTTTTATTCTCACTCAGTATAATTCCCTTGAGATTCATCCAAGTTGTTGAGCATGTCAATAGTTTGCTACTTTTATTTGCTGGGTAGTGTTCATGGTATGGTTTGTTGGACCATTTACCCACTGAAGGTCATCTGGGTTGTTTTCAGTTTGGGGTATTACAAATAAAGCTCCTATAAGCATTTGTGTACAGGTTTTTTGTGAACAGAAGTTTTTCCTCCTGTGGGCTAAATGCCCAAGAGGGCAGTTGCTGGGTCATATGGTAACTGCATGTCGTGTTGTGTTCACTCTTTACCTTTTAAGTAGTGTATTTAAACTATTTACATTTAAGGTAATTATTGATATGTTAAGACAGCCTACCATTTTTTATCTGTTTTGTTTGTTTTCTTATTTTGTAATCCTCTGTTCTCTCTCTTTTTTCTTTTTTTGCTTGCTTTTCTATGCATTACTTGCATACTATTTTAGGATATTTTGATTTATTTACAATGTTTTTTAGTGTATCTCTGTTTAATTTCTTAGTGGTCACTCTAGGTATTGCAGTACATGTATGCTACTTGTCACTTTCTAGTATCAACATTTTGTAACTTCTGGTGAGTTGTGGAAATCTTGTTTTCATTTGTTTCTTTACCTTGCCCACTTTTAAATATCTCAAATTTTATATTGTATTATAATTTTTGTTTCCGTCATCAAAAATGATTTATAAGACTCATGAAGAGGATAGTCTATTGTGTGTATTCATATTTCTGTTCTTTTTATTGTTCTTTCTTCCCTGTGATGCCCAAGTTTCCTTCTTTAATCATTTCCTTTCTGTTTCCTTTCCTACTCATCGTTTCCTTGACTGAGAACTGATGGAGTACATGGAAACCCGGAGTTTCCACACAGCAAAAAGCTACAGAGTTTTTTCCTCTCTTTGCATCTGTCCAGAAGCACAAAAAGCCAACATTAATCTTTCACCTACTTATTGCAAACCTGTGTCCCTGGAAGTTGTGTTCTTTTAATGGGCAGGAGAAAGAGACTTAGAATATTTTTCTGGCTTCCTCAGGAACCTGGGTCTATGTAGTAAAGAAATAGTTTCAGGACTATTTTTTCAAGTTCATGCAGAGTTTCGGCTCTGAATCATGGAGCTCTGAAAGTATGTAAGGTATTTTTACTTTTCTTTCTAGTTGGACTTTATTTTATGAAATTTCTGAGTATTCATTTAGTAAATGATGATTCCTATCAACACTCTCCTGTTCTCGTATGCTGTTTTCATGTGAGGGATGTCAAATCATTTTATCATCAGGGAGTTTACATGTTTTCTTTTTTGAATCCATGTTTTGAAACTTTTTCTGCCTATCAGACTACAGTTTTAAGGAATAATTAATTTCCCCAATAACTGATTCATAAAAAAACATGTGTGATGTCAAATAGAGGCTTCTAAAAAATATGAGACAATTGGGATGATTTGTGAAGTTGGTAAAATTCAAAACCAAAGAAGGCAGATTGTGCATTGCAGCCTCTGTAGGAAATGTAAAATTTCCATTAGGCTTTTTGAAACATCAACACTCTATGAGAACACCTGGGTTTATTTATTTATTTATTTTTATTTTGGTATCATTAATGTACAATTACATGAGCAACATAATGGTTACTAGACCCCCCTAATGTCATGTCCCTACCACATACCCCATTAAAGTCACTGCCCATCAGCATAGTAAGATGCTATAGAATCACTAATTGTCTTTCTGTGTTAAACAGCCTTCCCTGTATCCCCCCCACACATTATGTGTGCTAATCGTAATGCCCCGGTTTCCCCCTTATCCCTCCCTTCCCACCCATCCTCCCTAGTCCCTTTCCCTTTGGTAACTGTTAGTCCATTCTTGACTTCTGTGAGTCTGCTGCTGTTTTGTTCCTTCAGTTTTGCTTTGCTCTAATACTCCACAGATGAGTGAAATCATTTGATACTTGTCTTTCTCTGCCTGGCTTATTTCACTGATCATAATACCCTCTAGCTCCATCCATGTTGTTGCCAATGGTAGGATTTGTTTTATTCTTTTGGCTGAATAGTACTGAATAGTATTCCATTGTGTATATGTACCACATCTTCTTAATCTATTCATCTACTGATGGACATTTAGGTTGCTTCCATTTCTTGACGATTGTAAATAGTGCTGCAATAAACATAGGAGTGCATCTGTCATTTTCAACCTGGGCTGCTGCATTCTTAGGGTAAATTCCTAGAAGTGGAATTCCTGGGTCAAAAGGTGTTTCTATTTTGAGTTTTTTGAGGAACCTCCATACTGCTTTGCACATTGGTTGAGCTAATTTACATTCCTACCAGCAGTGTAGGAGGGTTCCCCTTTCTCCACATCCTCACCAACATTTGTTGTTGTTTCTCTTTTGGGTGGTGGCCATCCTAACTGTTGTGAGGTGATATCTC